TGAAGTGCAGCAGGGCGGTTGAACGTGACGGAGCTCGCAGGAAAGGCAGTGTGCCAGCGGGCGGCTGGGGTTGTGCTGGGGTACAGAGCGTGTGTGCAAAGACAAAGGTAGAAATGCAAAGGCGGTGAGGTTAGCACCCTGCTCTACGGCAGCTTTCTCTCTGCGCGGTCAGGGAGATTCCCGGCTGAGCCTCGCTGTTCGTTATGAATTCATTACGATGTACCGTGATTTCAGGGGAAGGCCAGGTTATTGACAAACATATAATCTATCTCTATGGATCAGAATTTCTTTGATTGCTTGAAGTTTTTTTCCTACACAAGCCAGAAATCCAGCCTCTCGATATACTGAAGTGACTCGGGTGGTTTCTCCGTAGCAGAAATGTGTTAGGCGGATTTGCTCCTTTTATCACATATAACAGGTGTTACTGGGAGGTTAAAGCAAGAAAATCAGCATCTGCCTCATCAGAGCTGCGCACTGTCCTTGGCTACAGCTGCTTTCTGTGTACATGTACAGCTCCGGATGGGTGTCCCATAGTGATGTCCAGGCTGATGACACTCCTCCATCGAGCTTTCCTTCACCTTTCTGTCACCAGATAGCTTGCAGAGCAAAACAGCGGTTTGCATTTCTTGTGGCCTTTTATGTTTGGATTATTCCCACGGCAAATCTGGCTCATGCAGCTTGGGAGAGGTGGTCCTTGGGTGTGAGGGAAGGCTCCCCAGCAGTTTCCAGGTTCTCCAGCCGCCCCGCTGCCCGTGGTGAGGGCTGGTGTGCCACCTCCTCGTGGCTCCAGCAGCTCTGCTTATCAATATTTCAGGTCCTTTAGCAGAACAATGCCTGCAGCGAATGTGTTAACTATTAATGATTGCAGGCTGCAGTATTGGCATTATTAGCAATGCAACCTTTAGCTTTATAATTAAGACCTGAGTTGAGATTTACTTTATAGGTCTCCCTTGAATGCATGAAAAATTCAGGCACTTTGTTAAAGACTCTGAAACAAAAGGCCGCCCATCTCCCCCAGGTTCGGTATTACCTGATTTTGGATGCCCCCCCAGTACAAACCCTAGCACAACTGCCCGAACGCATGGGTGGCCGGAGGACGCGTGCGTGTGCCTCGCTCGCTCCTGGCTCGTTCCTCGGCACACGGTGTGTATCGCTCCGAGCGGGTGGGAAGCGCCTGTGCCCGGTGCCAGGGAAGGAGAGGGATGGAGATGGGGAGAGTTTCTCCCAGTCCATTTACGAGTGGCTGTGGTGATGGGCAGGAATTTTGCAGGAGGAAGTTCAGCACCGAACTCATTCCCTCTCACATTGCTCCTTCATCGCTGTTGGCATCGTGTGAGCGACTGCAGCCCCGGCAGGTCCAGGGGCAGCCGTGGTGGCCGCTGGGCGGCTCCTCCATGCCCACAGGCATCTCTGGGACCAGCCAAACAGCCTGAGAGCATCCCGAGTACTGGGGCATCATGGTCTGCAGCCCTACGGCTTGTTGCTGGTTTCAGTTCCCTTGGCATGAGATGGTTTGTAGCAATTCCTCCAGCAAGCAGTGTCCTAGAATCTTGCCGTGTGAGCTGAGGCAGCCTGCTGTGCAGTTAGGAGAGGCAATGCCATCAACACCGATTTGGAGAACCCAAAAGTTCTTCAGCTCTGCTGGCAAAATGTAATTGGGAGAGATGACGTGGTGTAGAGAGCACAGCAGAGCTGCTGAGGAGATGGTTTCTGTCCAGGCAGCGGACGGGGCACGGTGCCTGGCAGGGAAGGAGGATCCCGCAGAGTGGACAGATAAAAAGCTGGATCTAGATAAGGCTGAAATGACTGAAGGAAATGAGATGGAACATTTGAGGAGCCATAACTGATGGCTTCTAGTGCTAATAGATCTGATTTCTTTCTTAATTGGTTGTTTGATAAGATTTAATGTATATGTTGTAGAATGAAATAAAAGGCAGGCAGCTGGCCCAAAAATGTAGCAGCAGCAGTGAGCCTGTGCCGTGAATATAGGTTTGTCTCTTTAATATTTGATAGGAGCATGAATTAGTTGTTTCTTGAATCCATTAGGAAGTGTGGGTGAGCGATGGGAGTAGCTGCACCGTGTCCTCCGTAGCAGCACATGCAGCATCCTGAGCTCTGCAGGGTCCCGTTCCCAGCCCAGAGCAAGGGCAGCGCTGGGCACACAGCCCGGCATGGGCTGCAGCGGTGCGTGGCCAGAGCTTCACTGGGAACGGCTGGGAAAAGCTCCGGAGGATGGGAAAGCCTGAAAACAGGGCTATGTGCCATCTAACGGGAGAGGAGCGTGTCTGTCTATGTGAGAGTGCCTGTGCTCAGCTGGTTGCTCCAGCTCCTGTTGCAGACAGACAATGTGGATATGATGGGTTTCCTAATCTTTGGTTTTGGCACTTCCAAAGGCTGCCCAGTGGACTGTGGGGTTCGTTGGTATTTACTAGGTCAAACCGGCTTGGAGTTGTTTTTCTTTGTGCTGAAAAGTGTGTCCATGTTTGAGGCCACCCAGCAGAAAAGCTCAGAGCGAGCACTGTGAAATCGCCCCGCGCAGGCTCTGCAGTGGCTGGCAGCAGAAGTCAGAGGATGCAACCCAGACATCAGGGTGAATTGAGCAGTCAGGTAAAACTGGCAGGAGGAGCATCGCCTGGGATAAGCAATGGCATCCAAGCCAGTGACTGAGCTGCACCTTGCACAGGGCTCTCATGGAAAATCTCTGCACACACGTAATCCCAGCCTCACCCCGGAGTCCCTCCGACTCGCCCTGCCTGGCACCGTGCCCTGCTTACCTCCCGTGCTGCAGACACCCCGGAGGGGCAAACTGCTGGAAAATGAAAACAAAACAAAACAAAAAAATACTCCAGACTCCTGGAGGTTGTGGTTCGTGTCTGCTGAAGAGGCTTTGTCCCCTCTCTGGCTGAGCTGGGCTGGCCCTGTGCCCTCTCCCCGATGATCCGAGGTGCAGCTCTCTTGGGCTGCCAGTGGTGTGTAAATGCTGGGGGCAGATTTGTGGCAGAACATTTGCTCCCTCAGACACTTAATTAGTGAGTGTTTTCGGTCGTCTTCTCCCCAGATTAGGCAGCTCACTGGAAATCTTGCTGCCATAGCACTTTACTGAGCTGCAGAGAAAATTGTCTCCCAGAATCAGTTAGTTGCAGATGGGAGATAGATGGTTTCAGTTTTGATATCGGTGTTTAAAATAATATGTAGAGAAGGTTTTTCAGGAAAAGCATAAAGACAAACTATTTATTAAGATGAGCACCTCGCACAATTTCATTTTTAAGAGTACAGAAAAGGTAATTCTGGGGAAAAAAATGTCCTTAACAGAGAACATTGTTGGCTGTAATTTAGAGCTACCCCATCAGCACGTGTTCGAGGGAGATAAACTGTATCATCTGTTCTCCCCTCGCCATGGCTGCGAGGCTGATGTTTTATACTTTTGCAGATGAGCCTCTTCCAGGGTGTCATGAACAACCATCAGTCTATCATGTGGGCTGCAGAAAGGGCAGAGTCATTGCTGAAAGCGTGTCAGTGGATTACAGCAATAAAATTTTTCACTGCTTCAAACAAAAGAAGGATGTGCTTGACAAGAGAATATATTTAAAATTCTTTTAAAGAAAGAATGCAGAAGCCGGGTTTCAACACCCCTCCTGCCCCTGCTTCTTCTGAGCCCGTGTCTGCTTGTGTCTGTAAGCGGATGGACAGGGAGGGCTGTGGACGGACAGGCTCCTTGGCTTCCTATGGGAAGCAAGGAAAAAAAAGATACAAGCTTAATTAAATAGTGTCTAGAGGTAAAACTCTTAGCTTTAGATCATGTACCATAATTGTGGCACATTGATTTTCAAAATTCCTATTTTATGCCATTTGACTAGGTATGGAACATAAACTGCGTGCTACAAACAACACTTAGAAACGCAATGGCAACATTTCCGTGATCCGTAAATCCGTAGTTCACTAATTGCAGCAGTGCTGCTCGCGTGTCAGCTGGGTCTTTGCCGAACGAGCGCTGATTTATCCTGTGAAATCAGCCAGTGTGGGAACATGAGGCAGCCCTGCCCCGTCCCCAATCCCACATTAGGCATCTTGATGATTTAAGTAATAATTTATTGTCTTTTTATTTAACATTGCAATTAACATGATAAATAAGTGCAACAGTATTGTTTGAAATGTAATATACAATTAAGCTCAATTAATTAATTGGCCTTCAATGATCAGGAGGAGAAAGATGTTCATTGTTTTTTTATGTGAAGAGATAGTTTGTTTTAATGAAAAATGTGTTGTGAAGCAGTTCGCGATGGAGACAACTTTTGTTTTTAGGGTGAGCGCGGGGCTGGGCGAGGAGCCAGGGCACCACGCCTCCTCCCGGTGCCGGTGCTGACTGGGGCAGCCCGGCACCAGCATCCCGTCCTTCCTTGGGGCCGGTGCCGGTGGCTCCGGGTGGGCAGGGGAAAGCTGCCATGGCGGTAAATCCAGCCTAAATCCTGCCCGGCACAGCCTCCGCTCCAGCGGTGCCCTGGCCCCATCCTGGGTGCGTCCAGCAGCCCGTGGCGG